ATCAGGTTGGTCCAGCCAGTTGTATGTATGTCCAGAGCTGCCATGTTGGCTGTCTGGAAAATGCCATTCAATTATCTAATAGCACTTCTCTTCATTAGGTTTGCCGTTTTAAGATCTGGTGAATAGGGTTGAGGAGGTGGGGTGCAAAGGTTGTCTAGTTTTGCCACATCTGTGGTACATTTGTGACACATCTTGAGTTCATAAGAAAAAAGTAAGGTACCAATCAGCTGATTGTCACAAAAATACTAGCTTTAAAATGGAAATAGAACTGTCTATCCTAGCTTATTTGTTTCTCTAGATTACTTTAAGCATTTGACTACTTCCCATTCACATGTCACTAGAAGTTCATTTGCGCAAATACGTAACAGAGGCTCAGACAGTTTACCCACACTAATCCTTCTACCCTTCAGAGCAGCTATGCCAAATGCAGGAAGCATGGAAGCTGTGGAATACTTTCCCCAGTGATGGTCTCATTTTGAGCCCTTGCACCGTAGTTATATCTAACTCTAAAGGGCATTGCAGAGGTCAGTGATAAATTCCTTGCTTCCTGGTTTTCAGAGCTTTGACTGTAACTCAGCACAGTGTTATAGAAAGGCATCTGGTAACAGTATTTCTGCTTTAGTTATATTTTAGAGTACTTAATTGCATATAAAGACAAGCATGTGCAATGCGTCTTTTTCCCACACTGGCAGCCTTTCCCTTTTGCCAATGAGCTCCACTTTTGTCTTTTGAGCCTGCTGTAACTTCAGTCCAGATGTTTTGTGCTGAAAGATTGAAAAATAGTAGCATTGCAAAATCCAGATTTAGTCAAAAGAAAAGATACAGACTTGGCAACAGTGTATTGAAGACACCTTAGTTAAAACAATTAGTTCTTCTGTGACAACTTCAAATCCTGGTAGGATGGAAATGATTGCAAAGAATCATGTGGAGTTCAGCGTGTCAGAGCAAGGATGAGAAGAAGTTGCAAAACCTCTGTTTAGCAGCCTGTTGCTGCAGTGCCTGTAAGATACCTTCAGTCAGGCAATAGTATGGAAGGCTCTCAGCCTACTGAAAATTAGGTGGAGTGTCTTGCTCTGGACTGAAGATGGAAATAATAATCCATGTGTATCTTTAGTCTGCTTTTTAGGTAGGCCTAAAAGCAGAGAGCTGGGAGACTTCCTTTTGTAATAGTCCTAGACACACAACTTTGGTGTTTTATATAGAGTGGTTTTATGCTGCCATCTCAAGGGGTTGAGTGTGTTGGCTCTGTGCACATGCTCTCACGATTGTTAAAGGTGGTGTGCTTTGATACTGTTACCTTAAACTTTTGAAGTTTGATTCAAGACCTTTTCACTCAAAGTGCTGCAGCCTTTAACATGCTTTGCTGTTTGGCCACAAGTACTTGAGCTATTGGTGTGAGGAATCTTACTGTTACTAGATTGATTTCTTATGTTCAGCATTTTTTAATCTTTTTTTTTCTTTGCAAATCTACTGTTCTGTTGAGGTAGAAGAAGGTAGGCTACTGTGACATTAATTCAGGAATGTGTGAAAGTCTGAAATGAAATCTGGCACTCAAAAATAGAGTATCAGGAAAATCTTCAGTAATGGGAGCACTGTAAGTAATTTTTGTTTAAAATAACTTGCATAAGTTGTTTCTGTTGTAGCACCAGTTGTAAGATACTCAACATGAAATCCATCTTGAATTGGCTCATGCCAATATCTTTACAGTTTTGGATAAATAAAATTAGTCTTGCATGTAATAGATTGATGTCACCACGAGTGTAAAAACTTATTATAGTCAGTGGGAAAACATACAAAATTGGGAAGCATACAAAACTGAGCTGCCCATTGACAGGTAGGGCAGGGTTTGTGCCCATTAATCTGCCTCCTTTGTATTTCACCTGCAAGGAGAGAGCTTCAGTTTTCCAGAGAACTTCAAATCAGCAGCAAATTAGTGTTCTACTAAAATTTGTGAAGGAGGAAAGGAGTATGTGAGGAGTTCTTAAGGGAACTCTTACACTAGAAGCGGAAGAATCAAATATCATGGGAAATCCTGTAATCTTTCTACCCATAAGATAGGGGAGGCAGCTAGGTGGAATTTTACTGCTCAGTTTCCACCAATTCTGTAAATCTGTAATCTGACTAGCATGGTCCCAAGGATCAGTTTGCTGCTCCAGTTCACCACAAGGCCACACAAATGCTCATCAGAATGCAGCTGGTACCTGGGCAGCTTAGGACAGATGAGTAAATAGGGGCAGTGGTCCAGCGCTACTGCTCTTTCTGGCTACTCCTGCCTTCCTTCAATTGCATACCAAATCATGGTCTAATATCCTAGGTGGAACTTAAGGCAAAGAAGAGGCCCTGCTAACACAGTCATTCTATGTGCCAGGAGCTTGCTGCAGGCACAGTAGAATAAAGTGTCTGTAATTACATTGTGATTACACTGTGATTACGTTGGCCTGCTGCATGGCTGTGCATGTTAAAAGTGTATAGTGAGAAATGCAGTCATTTCCCATCAATAGAATCTGTATGAACAAGAACAGCAGGACAACTCCTAGGGCTTAAAAACACTGTTAAAAGCACCTGATGGACTTCGTGTGAGTACTATCTGAAGCAGCCTGCAGTCCAGCATAGCTTCTTCACAGTAGGCTTATTCCTCTGGAATAAGGTCTTATATTTGTTAACAGCTGTGCTATTGTATCCATATTAAAATGTACACAGGACTATTCTAAGCTTTATAGCTGATCACCTTCGTATGTTTGCACTGGCTTGGTGTGGAACAATACTGACATTCAGTGGTTGATTATACTTGCCACTGTTGTGTGACTGTCCAGGAGATTTTGGAGGGTTTTAATGTCCAGTGCTGGCTAAATTCAGAACATGTTCAGTTGAAGTGGATTAAAGAAATTGTTTGAAGGCTCGTTTATAAGAATGCTGTACTCACAGTATTGAAAGTTTGGGGTTTTTTTACCAAATAAATTAGAGATTAATTTGATCCAAGAGAGATATAGTAGAAAGACATAATAGCACTTTGTAGCTTTGTTTCCTTTCACACTCTTAAGCAAATTGGTAATCACAGTTTCCAAACAAACTTCCTCTTATATGTCATATTGGCTTAGTTGGATTTTTCTGTCCACATTTTGACTATTGGTCTTTTTGTGTCTGCCACCAAAAACAGTGTACTCTTAGCAGGAAGTATCTAAGACCTGGCAAGGCCCCATGAAGATGAGCACATTGTTATCATGAATGTGAAGGAGCAGCTGGAGTTTAGAATGTAGAAAGCTGGATCTGGCTCCCTTTCCACATCTGCTAACAGGTAGAGGGAACTAGCATGCTAACTACCTTCTTTAGTAGTCCTTTTTCACCTTCTCTGATGAGCTTTGGAAGACATACTTTTGTTTACTCAACATCTGCAGGGCCAGGTAATTTTTCAGTGTTACAAGTGTGTTGGGAGGTCAGCCTAGAAATCTGGGCAGTTCAGAGTCAGACACAGGAACAAGAGCTCGCTCTGGATGCATCCAAGTGCTTATTCCAGTATTTTGGAATGAGGCTTAATCATGCAGTGTTTGGACTCCTTAAAATCTCCATGGAACTGGGCCAGTTACTTCTAGATATTTCTGTGCTGTCTTCACATTTGTGTACCAGTTAACATTAAAGAAGGAGCAAATTTCATCCACATTTTCTGGCATGATCCTGGCCAAACATCCTAAGATTAATGAAAATTATGATAGGTTTTTGGTATATGCATTTGGCTTCTCTTGGACTTGCTAGACTAGTGGTCTTTCTGTTTCAAGGTGTGGAAGCCCAATAACTGTTCTCTTTCCAATCATGTTTGAATTCCTGCAAAGGCTAAATCAACTTCAATTCAGAGCTGGTAATCTGTGCATTTCTACCATCTGGTTTGCACCAGTTGTAGTACTTTCTGGCAATGTAGCAACTTGCATGAGGAAGCAAATATGACCAGAAACTCCTTTTTTGGGGTCAGTATATGGCTGGACCAGTTTTCTAATACAGATAATTGCAGAGCCACAGGCCTGCTTAAATCAATACCTGGAAGGCAAAACGGATTAATACCTAGTAGAAGGGGCAGCTTCTTCAACTACAAAATAAATGTATGCAGCATCTAAGTACCAGATTAGCTCCACCTTGAGGAACAAGTGCTTGGGTTACAATTTGTTTTATTATCTAAGCCCAAGTTTAAACTTGGACTTTATTTTTATCAGAGGATGGTTACGCTGCAGGGAACCAGAGCATTGTGTCTGTCTCATGTAAAGGCTAAAGAGATAAACAGAAATCTGATATCATTTGTCTCCTTTGTAGATGTGCAGAAAATAGTTTATTCACTTATTTATTCACTAAGTGAACTTATTTCACTTACTGCCTCGTTGAAAGTTGAGAAATAGGCTGGGAATTAGAGTTTTTTTAAAGACGGATAAGCTTCTTGTCCCATGAATAAAATGAAGGATCAGTGGCTGAGGCATGTTATTTGAAAACCTTTAAAGATATAGACAAAGTAATTACATTCCTTATCTGCAACTCATGTTCCCCTTTTTCATAAGTGAGTTACTTTTTAAGTGTAAAATATTGTGTAAACATACTTCACATGTGCCAAGCACATATGAGGCAATTTTATTCATTAAATCAGATTTAAACTTAACCCTTACATGTTCCCAAAAAACGTTTAAGTGAGTGCCAACTCATGAGAGCCAGTTTTTCTTTAAGAAACAAATTACAAATACCAACTAGGGATTAAAGTTGAAATCAAGGGTGCTAGCTTCTTGCTTACATTGTGAAATATGTTAGTGCCTTAATCCACTGTGAAGTATTTTGTATTGGAACATTTCTCTAAATAAAGGAAATGCCATTTAAAGAAAGTAGCAAAGCAGTTTTTTTTCTTAAATTCACCATGTCTGCTAATAAAGAATAAGCATTGTAAGAAAGGAAATCTGGGAGAAGAAATAATATCAGTGTTCATATCCTTTTGTTTATTTTAACTTCTTTGAATGTGTTTCCAACAGAAAATGATCCACAGCCTGTTTCTTATAAACTGTTCTGGTGATATATTCTTGGAGAAGCACTGGAAGAGTGTTGTGAGCCAGTCTGTGTGTGACTATTTCTTTGAAGCTCAGGAGAAAGCAATCGATGTTGAGAATGTGCCTCCTGTCATCTCAACACCGCATCACTACCTCATCAGCATCTATCGGGATAAAATCTTCTTTGTGTCTGTCATACAGACAGAAGTGCCACCACTCTTTGTAATTGAATTTCTGCACCGAGTAGCAGATACTTTCCAGGTCAGTTACCATTAAATAATTTTAAAACTGAAAAAAATTAAAAGAGAGTATTTGTATAAATTTTGTTTATAGAGAGGTAATAAACTCTCCTGTTCAGTATATTTCCTGTTTGCAATTTTTAAGTCAAACACTGGTTTATAAGAATACTAATGGCAATAAGGTATATGTTGTGTATTCAACTGATTTCTAGTTACTAGTGCACATGCACTTAAAGCCAAATCCCACTTTGTAAATACTGTTGGGGTTTTTTTTTCTGTAAGCTTTTGTACTGTTCATGTTATATAGATGAAAAGGAGCACACTGTCATGAACACTCTATAGGGAGGAATAAGCTGTGAAGCTCAAGTCAGTTTTCAATATATTTCACAGATACTGTAAATAAAGCAATCTCTGTGAAGACTGACCATTGCCAAAAGATCATCTCCTTACTTTACAAGAGTCTTCTAATGGAAGATGTGTTAATGTTCACAGTGGGAGAACTTTTGGGACATATATACTAGTAAACCAGATTACATTAGTTTCACTGTTCATGCTGCCTTTATTTCTAATTAGATTATAAATGTAACCTTAACATAGGATATTATCAGACTATAGAAGTAGCTAGTCAGTTCAGGCACCGAAATTCCTTGATAGACTGGAGGGTTTCTGTAATCAAACAAGCAAACTTCTGCAAAGCATTTTAACAGGGATAAAAATCCTCTCCTTTGTAATCTCTGATTTGTTTAGGATTACTTTGGTGAATGTTCTGAGACTGCAATTAAGGACAATGTAGTTATTGTGTATGAACTTCTAGAAGAAATGTTAGACAATGGCTTTCCACTGGCAACAGAATCTAACATACTGAAGGAGCTGATTAAGCCTCCCACAATTTTGCGTTCCGTTGTCAACTCCATCACAGGTATGAAAACAATTTTCAGCAGTGACTGGCTGCTTAAAAAGAAAGCCCCATTATGCTTTATAGCTAAAAATAAATAATCATATTGGGGTAAATCTATAAGGTGAGGCAGCTGTCCTGCCACTTCTCAGAATTAAGAGTTGAAGAAAAGCAACTTCCTCCTTACTTGCAGTTTACGCCTGGCCCCTTTGATCCCCAGTGGCACTATCTAGTCCAGCCACAGCTGCCAAAGTCCCTCAGGAATAGCAGTTACCAGCACAGAAAGCACATACTGGAGACAGGTGCTCTGGGATTGGTACAGAGCTAGCCTCAAGCCTTGAATAACTGAGGAGCACTGGAGAAGGTTATGCATTTTATGTGAAATCATTATAGAAAGGTATATAACAGATACCTAATATTTGCTGGCTAGGAACAGATATCATGAAGGGAAACTAATAGCCTGTCTTCAACCTTCTCACCACCCCCACCACTGTTGACATCCATCAAGTCTATCTTGCACTGACAGAGCCAAATGTCTGTCAGCTGAGCTGGTGGAATCTGCTCATCTGGCATGTGGGCGCGAGGGAGGTACCCCATGAAGTATCACATGGGGTCATACATCTGCAAGGTGTTAGCCTGTATGTTGTGTTAGAGAAGGGTAGTATGTGGGCTGCAGGGCCACACAGACGTAGTGCTTGGAGGAGCTGGCCTTTGATGTGGAATGCATGGTTTAATCTTTGAATATAAATCTCATCAGCTTTAATTTCTAGTTTTTAAGTTTTGTTGGTTTATGCTTTTTTAAAATGTGTTTTTGGATAGTAGTACCTGTGAAAACTGTCTATAATGTTATTGGACAAGATGCAACCACTGTAAGGAGAATTAAGACTCCTGAAGCCAAGAGTTGCAGCATCAAATCCTCTTGTTTTATCTAAAGTCTTATTAGAATTCCCTGGAAGCCTAAAGCACCTGCCCAGGAAGGGTTTGGGTTTTTTTCTGAGTTATTTTACTAGCTCAAAACAATAAAAAACTTCTGTTTTTTTTTGCCTACTAGAAGGGGGCCTACACAGCAGGTTGTGTAGGAATTACAGCCACTTTCTAATGTGGCAGGATACACTTGACATATTCATCGTGCTAAAGGGCACAAGCAAGCGTGAGCTGTACTTCTGGAAGAGGGAGTTGTTTTCATTATACTAGGATTCCAAGATCTGTCACCTAAACCCCAGAAGTGAATTTTTTTTCCCTCCTCCTTTTTAAAGAATTAAGAGTTTACTTTGTAACTAAGTAGCTCAAGAAGCCTTTTTCTCACACTGAGTGGTATTAAGAACTAGAAGCCAAGGGTAACAGCAAGGCAGACAGGGGCATCACTGTTAAGGTAGGTGCCCAGAAGTTGAGCCAACAGGTCAGGGTCAGGATCAGATGATAACAGGGTAATCTTGCCAGTGAAGTCTAACAGAGACAGGTCAAACCAGAAAGTGAAGTCTATGGGCCAAGGTCTGGATCAATTTTGCAAATGATCAGGTGTAGACGTGGCTGTCATGTTGCTGCAAGGTAGCTCAAGTGGGTACCAAGGGTGAGAGGCTCAGCACAGCTGCTCCCAAACAAAGTGGGTGGGAGCCCTCCCCAAGGCTTCTTTCAGAACTTTCTTCATAACAACTCTTATCAGCAAAATCAGCCCTGAAGACAGCCAAATAAAACTTTTAGGAGAAAAGGAAAGCATGCTTAAGGAGCTGCAATGTCTTTAATTGCAGTGATGAAATTCTTTGCAAGATCTAGCCCCACATCTACTCCAGCTCAGACCCTGTGCTTACTTGAACCTTGTCTTTTACTGTGCAAAATATAGTCTGAAAATTCTTCAGTCAGGACATATCCTGAAAGTGCCTTCACATCATCAACGAATGAAGTTTTAGCAGCCTAGCTTCTCATCTGCAGTCCTTGGGGGCTAATCTTGCTTTGATTCTTAATTTTGGCAGTTGAAACACTCCTCTTGTAATCAATTACTGATGTTGAGTTCCTTTTCATTTTTAAGGCAGTAGTAATGTGGGTGACACACTTCCCACTGGACAGTTGTCCAACATTCCTTGGCGCAGAGCAGGGGTAAAATACACAAACAATGAAGCCTATTTTGATGTCATTGAAGAAATTGATGCAATTATAGACAAAGCAGGTAAGATGCCTTGCTAATTCATTTTTGTCTGTTGAATGTGTTTACATTTAGCTGCTAAGGTTGACAGATTACAGTCCAAACTCTGTTTTATATACATAAATCTGTATCTTAAATACACAATTTAAAATTACATGCCCACATATAGTTCTTCAGCTTATCTTAAAACAGTAATATGCTCTAGGCTGCTTCAAAAACATCCACAAGAAATATTCTGTACTTAGATGCTTTCTGTTTGTATATTGATTATCTCTTCAGAGATATAAATGGCCAAAAATAGTTCAAGTTTTAAATGTGATGAGAAAATTAGCTTCCATTGTTACTGCCAACAATTTTCTGTAGTCCTTGTACGCCCGCAGGTGAGCAAGACAAAAGCTTTCATTAGCTTTTTTCTGATAGCAAGACAAAACGTGGTGCAAAATAACTGGACAGCATTGTTTTGCTTATAAAATAGAGCCAGATACTATGAAGCATAATAATACTCCTTTCTTTTCTGTAAATTAAATATGGTATCTTAAAATACAAAAATATTTAATCTGAAATTAATTCTGAGAAACAATCTGGTAATGTTTGTGTAAATGTTGCCCAGGTCGAGTAGTAGAAAAAAACTAATCCAAAAGAAAACTGCTGTGGGCAAGATCCTGCTGTTTTGTTTATTACTGGGGCTATGAATTAGTAAAGAGGAAGACTGTATGACACCATTTTGTGGTGGTATGGGGCAGGGAGCAAGTCTCTGACACCTTCATTCAGTACTGCTGATGTAGCCATAGTCACCATTGATTTGGTTCCATACACCAGCTCAACAAATGCTTTGGCCACTCTTGAACTGGATAAGTCATTCATAAATAAATGTTGTGCAGCTCTTATTTTCACTGTCTTGAAACTGTAAGAAAGTGGCAGTCACAGTCAGAACACCCTGACAGCTGTTACTGTCCCTAGGTCAATAGGATTCCCAAGAGTAGTGTAAGTACTTCATCTGAGGAGTTACAATCAAGACTATGTTTGTATTTCTGTATGTATTTCAAGCCCAATCAGTGTCCAGTGAGTGTTTAAAGTTCCTACTGAGGATCCACTGCACTTGTCATAGCTACTTTTTTCTACTCTGATCCCTTAAGGACTAGTAATGGAAGAATCTTTTTTCCTGACCTCCACTAGATGTAAGAACTTCTAGATAAGGTTGCTTCCCTAGAATAGGGATGTTATGTTGTTTCACAGGGATATGACTGCTTTCACCTGAAACAAGATCACTTCTTTTCAGGCGAAGTATTAACTCACAGTTTCTCCTTCTCCTTGACTAGACCAGCCATAGTTTCAACAGATCATCTAAAGTAACCTTTGCTTCTAGGGCTGATTAGTCCAGAGTCTTGCTCATGCCTTTCTGTCCTTATAGTGCATTTAAGGTCATGAGCCTTTCCTGAATAAGATGCTTTATATTCTTGGTTTGGGAGGCTTCTCTTTTTTTTTCTGTAGATGTATTTAACATCAAAATGAATATGTAAACTCACTGTTAAACAAGCCTGGCTTATGAAGGCCAGGGTTATTTGGAGCTTTATAGCACCAACTAACTGTGTTTTCATGTTATTCAGCTTCCCTGCACCACTGCATAACTTGCTTATTTTCTGGAGATAGGGGACAGGGATGAAAGAAAGATTCAGAGCTGGCACCTTTTGAAATTGTTATTTGCTTATTGCTGGCAACCAGTTCAAGCACATCCAGTACAAGTTCTGTGTAACAGCTGGCACAAATATAATTAGCCGATTTGGGACAAGCTCTTTGCTCTGGCTTATGTATTTTAGCAAGCTGCTCAGGCCACAGGTAACTGGAATGACGTTTCCTATCTGTGCTTGGCATGTACTTCAGTGTTGTGCAAATGTCATCTGTGCCCTCTAACCAAGTTCACGACAGGCCCTTGGTAATTAAGTCAAGTGTCTTTTGTTTGTTTTTTTTCCCCTCACAGGTTCCACAGTGTTTGCAGAAATCCAAGGTGTTATTGATTCATGTATTAAGCTCTCAGGAA